ATGAAATAATAAAAAATGAATAAACAAACAAATAAGAAAATAAATACGTAAATAAAAATTTTAAAACGAATATATAAATAAGAAAAATAAATGAATAAATAAAAATAAAAAAATTAATAAACAAATTAAAATAAAAATAAAACTTAAAAAACAAATATATAATTAAGAGATACACATTAAACGAACTTAAAAAATTTTAAAAACATAAACAAGTGATTAAGTGGATCAAGAAAAATTTTAAAAATTAATAATCAAATAAAAATTAAAAAACAAAAAATAAATAAGCTGCAGTATTATCGCTCAACAACAATTCATTGTGTACCCTCACGCATTATCTTTGTATTCTAAGCATTCATTACAACACTAGCATAAGCACTCTTCTCATCTTACTAGCGTAAGCATTTTTATTCTACTAGCATAAGCCTTTACCCACTTTGTATATTTTTGTCAACATAAGCATTTCATTAAATTGATTGTACTATATAAGAATAAGGTAGATAATGAAGAAAACATTTTTTGATTCAACAATCGGGACAATTTTAATCTTGCCATCTTGCGTGAACGGCCAAGTTTTAAGATATCACATGGAAAGCAGAAATACTCTAGAAATGTTTGTTTCATTGTAATAAATAAATAAATAAACAAGTAAAGATTAATAGATAGACAAAAAATAAATAAAAATGCAAGAGAAAAAGAAATATATAAATAGATAAATAAATAAAAATTAATAAATAAATAAAAATGTGAAAAACGAATAAATACATAAGAAAGTAAATAAATGAATAAAAATTGTCAAATTAAATAAGTAAATAAATAAATAAACAAAAATTCAAAAAATTAATAAGAAAATAGTTAAAAACTAAAAAATAAAAAATAAATAATTAAATAAAAAAAATATATATATTAAAACCGAATAAATACATATAAAACATAAATAATTAAATAAATGAATAAATAAATAAATGTTAAAAAAATTAATAAACAACACAAACAAACAAAAAAAAAAAAACAACAACTGAAACAAAATAAATAAATAAAAATTAGTGAACAAATAAAAATTAATAGACAAAAAAAAAGAACATGTAAATAAATTAAAAAATAAATAAACAATAATAAATTTATAAAAAAATTGTAAAAATAAATAAGTTAATAAATATTTGTTTCTTAATATATTTCACATTTTTTAAGATTCATACTAAACTAGGAATATAAGCCACTAACGGAGAAGGTTTAGAGAGGGGTAATCACTTTGTTCTATATTTTAATTTCATAAAGTCTTTGCACTCTGCAGTCGATTGTAGACAACAGACACGAATCGCTCATATACGCGTTATTCGTGTTATTGAAAAATGTCAAGTAAAAAGCAACCTTTTAAAGGTAATTAAAATAACCGTTAATACCGAAGTAACCGAAGTAATTTCCACCAAAAATCATGACACTATTTAGTCTAAATAAAGTTTCAATCAATCCGACCGACACTTCCCAGTATTAAATACAGTAACATAGTGGCTTATGGTAGGTGTAACTTCTTTTTTTATGCTTCTAATCTTACATAGAATTGCATGGCTCGTTCGGAAGCTTGAAGATCTTCAGGTGATTGAGTTTCAGGCTCAGGCCAGGATACATCCAGAGTAATGCCTATTCGTCCCATTTGCGATGGTTTGTATTGTTGACGGTACATATGCACAACTTCTGCGTGCGCTTTAAGCAAATTGTGACCGCAGAGATATGACGGGATACCGGGATAATCGTATGCTGGAGCCATATAATCTATACCGTAACTCTGCTCGCATACGTGCCACGGTTCATTAATGGTCGTCCATAGTTTAACACGATCGCCGTACATTTCAAACAGCAATCGTGAATACTCTTTGAATAACGGAATAATTTCCGAATTGGTCCAACCACCAAGCTCTTGCAAGCGCTGCGGCAGCTCCCAATGATATATAGTTACCATAGGTGTTATGTTATAATGCAATAGTTCATCGATTAAGTTACTATAATATTTGATGCCATCTGTGCTGACTTTATTCATATAACCGCCGGGCATTATGCGAGGCCATGATATCGAAAATCGATATATGTTTACATTTAATTGCCGTAACATTTCCACGTCTCTACGCCACTGAAAACAGAGAAGGAGAGTTCGTTTTATATTCGATTAGGATTAAGATACAAATTGCATAATAACTCTTAATAAATCGGTGCTAATGCGAAAGTGTTCTTAAACTAAACCTTGAACGTTTCAATGCAACACATTTTGTTCACTTCCGTAACAATAATATAAATTTCCATAAAAATGAAATCATATCCGCTGTGTCAAGTATGGTACGGATATGTGGTCTTTAGCATCCAGTAAATTATTCTACATATAAAACCCGTTTATCTTTGCACTGTGTAGACAAGTAAGTTTTGAAAGTTTTTTTTTTTTATAGGTTTGAAACTTTCTTCACAGAAATTTGGGGAACTGGTCTTTTAATCAAAGTTAACTAAAACTTCTCCCCATCTTCCACGCAAACTTCGATTTGCGTCTCGAGAAAAGTCTTGGCGCGTCATAAGAATGTTGACAGTGCTCGAGCAAACAATAAGTAATCTGCTGCGGACAGTGCTAATCGGATGAAGTAATGTCTGCTGATAACAGCGCGGAGACCGTAGGACATTCCAAGTCGGAACTGCAAACATTTCATAACTTTTGGTATATCGCGGGTATTTTTTGCCGCATTAATGCACCAATTATTGGACATAGTATACCTTAGGGATGATTTCATTCGGTTGGAGCCGACCACACGCCCAGCTGACCCCCATTCAGACTATCGACTAATCGTCGATTTTATTACCTCGCATACTTTCGTCTTCTCGGTTAAACAGGAAAAGTAAACTTTCCGGTATAAAGATTTTCTCTTTTTCTTTTATTTGGCACTGAACTTTGTCTGTTTAAAGCTTCACGAAAACGTGTTGTGTAAAGATACTACTTTCAAATGAAGAAACGTCACACTTTTAATGCATACCCTAGAATAGTAATCACAATCTCTCTCTTACCGAACCGGATCGAACTAATTCGCACTCTCAATAAATATGATTTATATGGAGAATGTTTCTCTTCCCGGAAAATATGATGGGTAGAAGTTTTGCATCCGCCATCGATCAATTATCCTCACTTTAATAATAGGTCTAGAGAAACCCATCAAGTATGTTATAAGGTATAATGTTTAGTATTCTTAGTCAGAGTAAAATTCAAAGTTATTTGCACGATGGTCAAGGTCTCCACATTGGAAAAGTCATGGTCCGCAAAATTGAAGCGGAAAGCGAAACCTTTGTATATGCAAAGGCCAAGTGAGTGGGCAGAAATCGGATTTGAGAAAATACATTAGTACTTAATTAACTGTAGATATTGGCCGAAAAGTCGCTACAAACATTTACAATTATGTATGTGCGTATGTGCGTCTCATACAACATGTCTCATAGCATGGCTCTGATAGAAGCAGCTCTGAACAGATGTTGAAAAAGCCCAAATGCACAATTAACTCGTCATCGATGATCGATTTGATCCCTTCAGATGGTTTAATTTCTCTTTACCGCTTCCTCTTCTTCTTAAAGGCTTTGTAAATATTGTAAATCTGATCAGATGTATGACTTATTCATATTCATTTAATATTCATAATTAGCTGCACACCGTCAATTTGCATCGACCTTACCATTACGCGGATTAAGTATTAGTCGTTTTGTTGTTGTACATGCATATCTCGCTTGCAATTGAATACAATCTTATAATCGCAAATTGTCGCTTGGGTTTTTGTTTGAAAAGCTCGGCTTCTTTTTGTCAATTCACTTTGCCATATGCAAGAATGCTAACGCGTCATTTGCTTTTTTAATTGTTTAGCAACCTACTTATTGAAATGTATGCGAAAAAACTGAACAAAAACTGAATTCAATATAACGGTACATTCTTTAAATTAGTTGGTGTTTTTTTTTTTTTTTTTTTTTTTTTTTTCCTTGCTGTGTTATATAAAGCAAACTTTCAGACAAGGGAGTACAAGATATTGACCCAAAATTTTGCCAAA